AAAAAAAAAAAAAAAAAAACAAAAATTTTTTTTAATCTTTATGATGTGCCGAAATGCTAACTCTTTCTTTTTCCAGGTTTTTGAACCTAAAACAATTAATCTCTTTGTATGGTACGTAATTTAATTATTTATTTAAAAGTATTTTTTTTTTCTGTATTTCTGGCATTAACACATCTGGCAGGTTCATGAATATGTCTAATTTTTTACCGTTTGATTCAACACTTCTTTGCTGTACCTCAATCCAAAATCAATTACCAAAATGAGAATTACAAAGCTGCTAATCGAAAAGTCGTTATAACATTCCACTAAGATAAAAATTTATCAAATCACTTTGGCTTTCAAATATTTTCTTTTGTAAATTGTTTTACTTCTGTACAAAAACGATATGGCAAAAAAAAAAAAAGTGAAAAAAGCAATAGTTATTTCACCAATTTTCTTTTTTGTTTCCTTCTTTTTGACCAAATCTGAATCACGCATTTCTTTCTAAAAAGAAGAAATTTAAGTTTTTGAAAAAAAATTGGTTATTAATCAGGAGAAAACTTGGGGAAAAAGGTAGGTGTGATAAAAACCATACTTTAGCTCTTCAAGAGGTTAAAAAGACAAACAGTAGTGAATTGGCCAGTGTTTATAAACTTACCTATCTGAATTTTATAACCGCCTTTGATGATGTTTAAGAAAAAAAAGATGTAAATGTGGCAACTAAATGCAATGAATATGTTTAGGCGATTGGCCATCTACAAATCTTCCAAAAACCATCCATCCAGAAGAGCATAAAAAAAAAAAGGCTGATGCTTATGTTCAGAAGCCAGATATTGAAATTGAATGTTTGTTTAATGAAGTTAATCTGGACTTCAGTAAACACCAGTAAGTGGCGCTCCTAATCCATTTATATGTATAGGTTTGGAAAACTAATGAAAACATTATGCTGCTTTTTAAACAGTAGGTTAAAATCGTGGAGCTCTTGGGCACATAGTTTATACGTATTTAACATAGAAAACAGTCGCTATTTAATGAAAAATCTAATGTCTAAATTTTCCAACAAACTGTTTCTACTTGACGCTACAGAAGTGACTCGGGAAATGAATTTGGAAATGAATTGGCGGAATCAGGTTGGACCAAAGCGGCAATAAACGCCTGGAAAATAGCAGCAATAAGTGGCTCACCTGAGGCTTACTATAATTTGGCAATGTGCTATGCACATGGGGATTATGTCTGCAAGAATTTTAAAACGGTCATTCTTTAGTTTAAAATTATTTACAGATGATTTTTCACGTCTAGATTTCGAAGAACAATGTTTTGTAAATATTGATCAGAATAATGTTGTTTCCTTCTAGGCAATAAAACTATGGGAACGAGCATCTTTACTTGGCCATTCTCTTTCCACTTACCAATTAGCAGTTTGTCACATCAACGGTTATGGCAACGAGAAAAAATGCGTTGATTTGGGACTTCAATTGATGAAGTTATCTGCAATTACGGGGTGTGCTGAGGCGCAGTTTTATCTAGCATCTCAAAATTTGTTGAACGGAAGTCTTAAAGAAGGTGAAAGTTATCTTCTGAGGGCTGTACGTAAACAAGAATTTTATGACAAAGCAAAAGAGTGGTTAAATGTTGAATCTACACCTGCTAATGTCAAAGCAGTACTCCAGTCAGTGATCCAAAAGTCTGGAATGTAACTGTAACTTTCTTACAAAAATTTTGCTAGTACTACAAAATTAGTTTGTTCATAGCATTTTTAGCTCCAATTCTGTTATACTGGGTGCATTATGGTTATTTATATGTAATTTAGAAACCCTACGTGTCTGTACAGAGATGCCACGAATTTAAATGTGCATTTTGAGCCAATTTTGCGGGTTGTACATATGATCTCTCTTGAACTTCTCTCAAATGTCTGATACATTTTTTGCAACCTTCAAAATCTCATATTTTAAAACTGTTGTTTTCTCTAAGCATATTCAAGATACGGAAGAAACCAAAATCTCTGTGGTATAAAAGTTTTGGAGTACTTGTTGGTTGCCTATACACTCTACATACGTTTTAAATTTCGTAAAAGTTATCCTGCAACAAACGTATTATGACTCACCTTTGTGAGAACTACGTTGTTGATTATGGAAGTTTATGGAAAGCAGTTTCAGCCAGCAAAAACCCGATGGCTAAATTATTTTTACTGCCAGCTGCATCCTACAAGGGCCATTTAAAAATATATACAGTATTCTTTCAGAATCTTTACTACGAAGGTTTAAGGCAAATTAAGCCCAAAACTATTGCTGTTTGGGTTTAGTGATCGTACAAGTTCAAAACTGAAATCAAACGGTAACTAGACAATGTGGAAAGTTGCTTTTGCCAGTTTCTAATGAAGATTTGACGACTGCGCTGTTGTCAAGCAGATTAAAGGAAGAATAAAATTGTTCTTGTGAGGGATCCCAAAATAACTGCCAACTGAACTGCCAAACCGATACGAAGCTCACGTTTTTATAACCGTGCGTAATTTTTCCTTTACTCAGTGCTCTTCATAGAAGCCTCCAGCAACATCACTCACTACTGCCCAGAAGCTCAAAGATATAAACCTTTAATAGTTAACAACTAGCCATGCCACTGTTTCCATCCTAGATTTGACTAAAAATTTGAAAAAAAGCAAAATCTAGTTGAAAAGGTTAGGATGCAAAGAAAAAATGAGGCAGTGGTTTGAAACAGCATTTCCATCCACTCTTAGTTCAAAAATTAATACGTTACAGTACTTTCTCAATGAGAAAATAATTTTAAAAAACTCTGGAAATTTTTTAAACCAGACCAAGCATACGAAAACGAATTTTTAGTATAGGATTGGAATTAGGCATTATTTTTTCTTCCTGCACAAAATCGATAATTTTTAAAAGAAATTATCGTTTTAGACGTCAATACGAATTTGAAAAGTTGACTATAGTTAAAAAACATTTGACTGGTTTTGAATGAAAACTGCAATTAGAGAAAATGCGGTTAAAAACTTTATTTTTGGAAATAAAGTTTGAGGTGATCCCTATCCAACAACGGTTCAAATTTGCACATCATATTAATCGATTATTGCTAAAAACATTAAAATAATAACCAAAATGAGGACGAAGTAGGAGCACTATTGCTTGCTTAAAAATTGCACATCTATGAGTTTCTAGACAACAGTTGCCAAAATGTTACGACCACAGAAATAAACATTCAACTTAGCGAGAAGGGGGCACACAAAAGTTGGCATTATTAAGTAAACATAAGTAACTGAAAACAATAATAAAAAATGTTTCACTTGGTTTCAAATTTTACACGCTTCAAGCAGACTAGTTTTACTTAGACTAACAAAACTTTGAAATATATTGATTCTATAATTGCTGTAGAATTTTTGGTATGAAATTTCCCTTGTCGAACTCAAATAATCAAACGTGAAACGCATCTGCTTTATGTTTTTTTTTGCAACCACTAAAGCGTATCACTTAACCATAACTCTTGTCGTTGAACAGGTCATTGTTGCCTAATTCACCCAGACTGTATCTGTCAGTAAAACGATGAACCCAATTTGTCAAGAAGTTATGATTGACGTAAAGTACGACTGGTACTATGGCGGTAGGGCTGATTGAAAGAGAGTTGAAAAATTGTTTTTATCTATCCCCCAGTACATCTCGTTTTTAGCCATATATATATATATATATATATATATATATATATATATACGTATATATATATATATATATATATATATATATATATATACATAACATCTCTACCGATTCAAACAACCGATCTTACAAATATGTACATCGCATGTCTAATACAGTTGGTGAAATAACAACTAGTAAATTGTAAAATAACGAAGATCATAACTATTAGCAGAAAATAAATGGAATAAGACTGCATTGTACCGAAAAAAATACAATGTTGTAATGCTTTGTGGAAAAAATAATATTATTGTTACTTTATTTGTTTATACACTGTCTAAGGCTGAGAGAATATTGTCCTTTTTTCTTTGATTGATATAGTCGATATTCATTTTCCTATATTTTGGTGTTCTTTGTCCAACGAAATTTGTTTCGCCTGTTTTTCCATTTTACAGTTCACTAATTAGTAAATTTGCAAAATTAGCGAAAAATAGCCATAAATAGTATACATTGAAAGCATATGTATACTACTTTTATTCATCCGCGTATTCGTTTGGTTAATAAAAGTGATAATTTCGACTAGCATGCTCTCTCAGTTTTATATCACATTCACTTCTGCAGAACAGCATTTTGAGTAGTTTATTCCTAAAACCGTTTTTTCTTCAATAATTTCATATATTGTTTGCATAATCCAGATTTTTCAGCTTTCTTCTGGTAAACACCTATTAAAATGCCGAATAATTTGTTTGTGAGAATGTTGTCATCAGTTTACATTATTATGACGAAGCAATAGTATAAAAAAAAAAAAATTAAATTTTGCGCTGTTGCAGTTGTTATTTTTAAAAATGCATTTTATGCAACGAACTTTACTAGAATCAGCGATGATGCCATGAGGGTAGAAACGGGTATCCACTAAGAATTTGGCTATGTTCTAATGAGCTCATCCTTGCTTTTTTTTTTTTATTTTCCAACTTTCTGTTGCTATCAGATGCTGTACGGAAGCACTTTACGGTGGCTTTAAAAAAGTTTTCTATATAGGTTTGGATGGTTATTATGAACCGTGGGATCGTGACCACAGGTTCTTTGAATGCCAAACTTTGTTGCATTTTTCAGCATTTTATTATTGTGTTTAAGGCTTAGCGTCCTAAAGGTTGGTGTGTGTTCACCTGTGAGTTCCTGTGTCACTCATCTTGCGCAGTACCGATTACTTAATTCCCTTTTCTTTCACTTGCTGTCAGTCACAGCAGCAGAAAACTTTTGAACTATATATACTTTAGTTTAATTGTTTAAGCAGTTTACTACTGGTAAATTTGGAGTTTTGAGAACTCATTCTTCTGGTAGGAAGAGTTAATTAAAGTCTAGATAGTTGAAATATAAGCAGAGATTTTGATATTTTAAGTTCTTGATACGGTGTTGTTGTATGGTTCAGCAACGTCTGACAATGGAAACGAAAATTTAGTCGGGGTATGTATACATACTGTTACGTATTGCTCTCTTTTCGCGTACGCACTTGTCCTTACTATGTTTATAGGTTGGACTTGGTAAATCGCCATCGAAATGGCTGAGGCAGCTGCACATGTCCTTTTTGATGAATTTGGCCAACCTTTTATTGTAGTCCGTGATCAAGAGAAACAAAAAAGGCTTACTGGCATTGAAGCTTTAAAAGTAAGCTGTTGGATCTTTCGTATTTCTTATGTCTAGTTGTTTCTTCTTTAACAAATACATTCTATTCTCGTAGAACTAGAGAGGAGGTTAAGTTACAAGTAAAGAAAGACAACTGCATTTTTTTTTTTTGCATTAATTTTCCGGATTTATTCAGCAGGAAAATAGAAGTTTTTCTGATTTTAATGTTAATCTTCAAGAACCATATACTGGCAGCACGAGGGGTTGCTTCTACCCTGAAATCGTCGTTAGGTCCAAGAGGGTTAGACAAAATGTTGGTCAGTGGCGATGGCGATGTAACAATAACTAATGATGGTGCCACAATTATGGAGAAGATGGACGTTCAACATCATGTAGCGCAATTGATGGTTGAACTTTCTAAAAGCCAAGATGCGGAGATAGGCGATGGCACAACTGGTGTTGTAGGTATGTTTAGCAGTTAACACATGCATTGTTTAAGAAATTAATACAAGAAGAACTCTACCTCTTGATATTTTCCTAAGCCATCTATTGCAAGTTGCTCTTTATCAAGTCGGTTTGTTAATTTTTTATGCTAGATTTATCTGTCTCAGTACTCCTCTAATGATACTCCAGTTTTTGTGTTATAGAATTCTAAGTTTTTTTGAGCAGGCTTTTTTACTGCTCAGTAGATAGTCAAGAAATAGCGGTTCATTTTAAAGCAAGAATTTTTATGATTTTCTCTTTTAGGCTTTACCACTGACACTTTTGCTTCTACCTTCCCCGTCATGCTCTTTTTATAATCCATTACAGCGTTCCAAACTTTTCATGTAGATATTTTATGTTTTGATGATGATGAAACTAGAAACCTGTAGAAAAAACTTCGAAACTATAGACAGAACATTTTTATGGTTGTCCTTTGTTGTTATTATAGATTAAAACTTGATTTATTGAGAATATTTTTATTTGAGCAGTCCTTACTCGTTATCATAGTAAGTCTCGTGTTTATTTTGAAATTTTCTGTACATACTGATTTCTCTTTGTTATACAGTTAAGTATTCCTTAATTATATTTAGTTTTAATTTACTGCTAACAGGTCATTTCTACATTGTATTTTACGACTTTTTTGGCTGGTCATTGTGAACTTTTAACATCTTCAGTGAAGAAAAGTTCTTTTGAAAAATAGGAGTCATTGGCCGAAGTTTCAATTATTTTGCATTTTCAATTTATTTCGCAATAAAAATCAAAAATCTTTTTGCAAAACCTTCTTTTCATTTGAAGTGATCTATTTTATTATTTATATTATATGCTTATTATTTATATCAAAATTTAAAAAAGTTTCCTCTTTTCCCAGTTAATTATTGTTTTATTTACCCATTGAAGAGCCATTTTTAAGGTTTTTTCGTATTTATTTCGAATTTTTTTTGAAAATGATGAATAAAAACTAATTCGTACAAGCATACAGTATTTTATGCTGTGCATTTCACTTATGGAATTGACTTAACATTCTGAATCTTAAATTATCATTGCAACGTAAACTGTTATTGATATGATTGGTAGACATAAAATTATAGTTTATTATTTATAAAATATTTTTTTTTTGAATGAGGAGATATATGACTCTTCCTTGTTTAACGCTAACGAAATGTGCGTAGACAAGGACACGTTTGAAAAATGCACTAAAGATGAGCCTTTGATGATGCGTTCATTTTATTTTTTTCCCCATCTCTTTTGATCGGACACCATATTTAATGAATGTTTAATTATTTTTTATCAATCTTTAAGGCGCAATTTTGCCTCTCGTGTTTGCATTTTTTAGACAGTTGAAAGGCGTAAGTAATATAATTATTCATTGTCTTTTTCTTATAAACACTCTTAGAGTCGGTTTTTTGGAGTGATCTCTGTTTTGGGTGATGTGTAACATACTTCAGTTTTTATTGCATTTACACTTTTTGCTATCAGAGTTAAGCTTTGAAATCTAGGCACTAAGTTCTTGCAGTTGTTAGCAAGCACGGAATTTGTTAATTATCGTTAGAGGAGTAAAATGAGGAAGTAAGAAAGTTGCTGGGAATGATGTGGTGGGAGGCTGTTGAGGTTATGGTCATGTAACAAGTTTTTATTTAATTGTCCATCTTATAGTAGTCGCAAATTGTTCTTTTTTTTATTGATTTTGGCTGACAAATCTTCAGTATTACTATGAAATATTTTATATGGATTATTTTATTTTTTACAACAAAGCGTATTATTAGTAGAACTTTGTTCTTTTGTTTCTCTTGTTTCATCTACTCGAAATAAAGGGTATACTTGCTTTTTTGATACGAAATTAATAAATATTGCACATCATTGATTAAGGATGGTTGGTTTTGGTTGTGTTGGCACGTAAGATTTGCAAATTTTAAAAACATTTGTATGGATGACTGAGTCATCTTTGCTGTTTGGCCTGTTGGTGCTGTTGTTGTTGCTGTTGTTGCTGCTTTAGACGGTGATGGCGGTTGCATTTAGTTTTGGTCACAAATATATCCATCTTCCAAGTTTCGTTGGTTGTTTTGCAAAACTTCACACTATTTGCTCACTCGTCTTTATGGTTTCTTCGTTAACCAATGCATTTTTTTTTCTGTTTTTGTTATTTTTCACCTAATTATTGTCGAAATTATTAGGACCATTCAATTACAGTTAACTTTGTGACTTTAAAACAATGGGTACGCAAACAATGACGGTTCAAAGTAAATACAAAATTTTAGTGTCTAACGTCATCGTCGTTCTCTGTTGTTCTTGTACGAGTTCTTTTGGTTTTATTGAGTTGAGTTCATATAATTAAACATAACCTGGTATTTTGAGTCAAATGTGATTTTGCGCAGCATTTGTAATCATTGAATAGTTTCTTGACAAGTTTATGACTGCATTGTTGGCTCATTTCTTTCGTTTTTGTTTGATTTCTTTTTCTTTTCACTAACTCGGTGTTGTCTCCATAGTGTGCTAGTCGTCTCGAAGGGGTAGTTTGAGATTTGCTTAAATTTTTAGCGTTGGGAACGAAGAAGGACGTGGTTTTATGGTTGTGTGGGTGCATGTGGAAAATTTTTTTGGTAATTGAAAGTACTGGTGTATCTATTATTGACAAATCGACATTTTTGGGTTTAAGTTTACAATTCAAGAATTTGATTACATGTGAGGTTATCTGCCTGGAGATTTGTTTGATGGAACTTTTCTCTAACGGATGGAAGAGGTCGAATTGTATGGAAAGTGGTTGATAACAATAGTTAAGTCGTTATATTATCTGTTGAGTTCTAGAGTGTCTCATATGAACTGTGGTTTGGTGGTTGGAGGGGAGGGATATCGATTTGAACTGTTGTAAAAACCATTTTAGAGTTTCCCTGAACAGGATTTTTTGTATATTTATATGTATACATGTGAGTGTTTGCTTATGTTTGTGTATTGTTTTCGGGTGTTGCAGGAATTGATTGGCTCTGTAATGTTTTGTTTTGCTTTTGTAGCAAAGATTAAACTGCTTAAAATAGATTGTTTTATTTATAAATATTACATATATTTTGGCTTTAAATGTAACAGTTTAAATGATTAGCTCTGTTGTTTTTGCTTTTTTTTTTTTGTTTTTTTCATATTGCGTTTGACTATAGTGATCTTTAATCTATCAGGAGGAGGCGATGGAGGAAGGGAATGGGGAGACAAGTTTAGACAGTGTTAGTGTTGTGTTTGTGTATGTGGTATGTATGTGTATTTATATTTATGTATGTTCGTGTGTATGTGATGTATCTGTTTATGTGTGTGTGTGTGTTTGTGTGTGTGTGTGTGTGTGTGTGTGTGTGTGTGTGTGGTGTGTGTGTGTGTGTGTGTGTGTGTGTGTGTGTGTGTATGTGTATGTGTATGTGTATGTGTATGTGTGTATGTTGATGTGAACAACGATTTAGATAGACGTCGATGACGTTATTACGTGGAGCGTCACCCGGCGGTAGAATCACTGTTGCGAACTTTCACGAGCTCTTCTGTTTCGTACAGGGTATTTACGAAGAGAAAAAAGAACCCCAAAAAATAAATTTTTGGAAGGCTTTGACTGTGGTTGCCTGGAAGGAGTTGATTGAAAGTCTGTAAGAGTTTTTTCTACAGCGATCCAACCAACACTCTGATGCTAGTTTTTACTGCCGTTATTGTCACTTGTTGTGATTTGGACTGTAGCGGAGCAAAATAATTCCTGTTTTTCGTTCACATTAATATTCTATATTTATTATTATTATTGTTACTGTTATTATTATTATTGTTACCGTTATTATTATTATTCTTACTGTTATTATAATTATAATTATTTATTATAGTTATTGTTATTATTAATTATTGTTATTATTATTATCATTAATATTATTATTATCGCCATTATTGTTATTGTTATTATTATTAATTTATTGTTATTATTGTTATTGTTATTATTATTATTAATTTTTATCATTCTCATTGTTGTTATTATCCTTTGGTGATGATAGCGATAGTAGTGTTTATACAGAGCGTCAATTTTTTCGTTATTATAATTTGGCATTTAAATGGTTTTTTTGGAAGTAGGGAAGTTTTTTGAGTAAAAAAGGCAATCATGCTTAGCTGAATAGAACAGTCAAGTAGGTTGACATAAAATTTGATGTTAATTTGAGTTATGAACTGAAAAAACTACAGGGGAAGTTCTGAATCCAGAAAAAAGTGCAAAAATTGCAAACTTTTGTTGTCGTGATACTAAAAACATTGAGTATCTGATACACCTGATGTTAAAGCACTTAGAAAGTATAGAAACTGTTAAGTATATTTAAAGTTTGTTTATTTGTTGGGTAGAATTAAGTTGGCTTTTCTGCGCTGTATGCCGTTACTTGTTAAAAAGGTATAAATTCTAAAAAAAATGAATATAATTCGTAGTTTTCTTCTCCACTTTTTTATCTTTGAATTCTAGAAAACAGAGGGAGAGATGGTCTTTTAGATAAGATCTTTTTCATAAAAATTTTTTGTTGTTGTGGTGCGTGGTATGGCCGAAGTACTGTGTATGATATCCCATCTTGTTTTATCTGTCCTGTTTGGTGAAGGTTTTTTTGTAGATTTATAAAGCGTATTTTTTTTTTTTTTTTCAAAGGAATTGGGTTGACGTCGTAAAATTTGTTTA